AATCAAACTCCTGAAGAACTCTGCAGGTATCAATGCCAGTTAAATTACAGAATTGCAGGTACTGCCAGACTAGAAGAATCATCTCATTACTGGGGAGAAAACCAAAGTTGGTTTTAATATATAAAATTTAATTTTTTTTATTTTTGGTTGTGCTGGGTCTTTGTTGCTGCTTGGGCTTTTCTTTAGTTGCAGCATGCAGGCTTCTCATTGCACTGGCTTCTCTTCTTGCAGAGCACAGGCTTCAGGGAGCATGGGCTTCTGTAGTTGTGACACCTGGGCTCAATAGCTGCGATTCCCGGGCTCCAGAGCACAGGCTCAGTAGTTGAGGCCCACAGGCTTAGTTGCTTGGTGGCATGTGGAATATACCCGGATCAGGGGTCATACCCATGTCTCCTGCACTGGCAGGTGAATTCTTTACTAGTGGGCCACCAAGGAAACCCAAAACCAAAGGCTTTTAAGGAGTAGGAGATTATTCTAGAAATTTTTAAGGATTTGGAGATTATTCTGGAAAGCTAAGCACTGAAGAATTGATGTTTTTGGACTGTGGTGTTGGGGAAGACACTTGAGAGTCCCTTGGACTGCAGGGAGATCCAACCAGTCAATACTAAAGGAAATCAGCCCTGAATTTTCATTGAAAGAACTGATACTGAAGCTGAAACTCCAATACTTTAGCCACCAGATGCGAAGAACTGACTCACTGTAAAAGACCTTGATGCTAGGAAAGATTGAAGGAGGGAGGAGAGGGGACAGAGGATAAGATGGTTGGGTAGTATCACTGACTCGATGGACATGAGTTTGAGCAAGCTCCGGGAGTTGTTCATGGACAGGGACGCCTGCCGTGTTGTAGTCCATAGGGCCACAGAGAGTCAGACACGACTGAGCGACTGAACTAAGGAGATTATTCATGTTAAAATGATACATACTTGAGGGGCAAGCCCTTTTGGTTTAGAATCACTGCAAGGATGACAGTTAATACTGATGAAAGTGGGTTCTGTGTTTTGTGTGTATGTTGGCTCTGAAAAGAAATTTGAGACTCTCTGGGCCAGAGGGAGCCCATTTCTCTTAGTAATTGTGCATGTAGTAGAACTTATGCTTACTGTTTTTGAATTTAATACTCAATATTGAGTTTCTTTTTGAACTAAGAAAGCCTTTGGAAACACATTTTGTTTGTTTCTTACATATTGCAGACCTTCAGTCCCTTACCTAGATTCACAAAGCTCTGAAAGCTAAAAAGTTTTTTTATAAGTTTATAGCAGAGACATTTGACAGCAAAATCTGAACTGAACTGATAGGACGCTATTGTGGTCTTAATTCTGTTATGTCAATGAGTTTGCCTGGAGTAAAATTAATGTATTTGATTATGGGGTGCCACTCCAGACTCCCTTGGAGGTGTACCAGCTCTTGTGATATATGAAACATATTGCCTTTCCAAAATTTGAAAAATTCTGTATTGTGAGATACATCTGGCCCCAAGGGTTTCAGATAAATTATAGGTCTGTATAACCTCAAAATTATCTGTTTATTAAAGCTCCATCCTGAGTTTTGGAAACATCATAAAACAATAGGAGAGACCACGAAGAACCACAGAATTTTCTTCCCTCTTCAGACCATGTCAATGTTTCATTTCAATTTTGCTGGCAAATTGTTTTGGTGAAGAATTCAAAGTAATTGGTGTCATCATATAGGAGACAGAAACATTACTATGGTTTCTGTCCCTTTCTCTGTTAATTAAGTAAATATCTGGTGAACAAAATGTTTTCAGGATTGACCCCTAGTGCAAAAATAATTAGAATGGCAATGAAACAAGCCAACATGATCCTTTAGGGTGATAAAGGAGATCGGGCATGAGGAGAAGGGGGCAAAAGAAGATGAGGTGGTTGGATGGCATCACTGACTCAGTGGACATGAGTTTGAGCAAACTCTGGGAGATAGTGAAGGACAGGGAAGCCTGGTGTGCTGTGGTCCATAGTGTCGCCAAGAGTAAGATACGACTGAGCAACTGAATAACAAGGGTGATAGCATACACTGAGATAGTAGTGAACACACACTTTATGCTTTGCTAGAGATTGCTGCTGCACATCAGTTAAGCATGCACTTACTGAGGGTTTAAATTAAGAAGCCACACTTGAACAGGACACATCTCCCTTCTCTATGGAGCTTTTTTAGAGATTCTTAACCCACTTTGACACTTCTGATCAAATCTTACTTCATTCAATTCAGGGTGATTCACACTTTCAAAAGTAGTGGGGAAGAAAAGGGAGGGGGCATGAATTAAGAGTATTAGCAGAGTTAAATTTTTCATTAAAGATTTCCTGGACTCTCTAGTCATTCAAGTATCAGCATCTGGAATGTAAGTAGTAGGTTTTTTTCTTTAAGCCAAGATAAGGGAGTCATATTTAGTTGTAAGGTCTGTATGACATTTTAATATATCTGGAATTATTGACTGTGCAGGAAATAACTGCTTGCCTGTGTAAAGATTCCTTTGTTTAAAGCTTAGAGACCTAGAAAATGCTCCTTTGGAACTGACCCCAAATGAACAGAGCGGAAATTTTGCATGATGATTATTACAATCCAGATGGTGAATGGTTACTATTAAAAACACTGTTTTGTAGAGGTCATGAAGACTGATTACCCATGACTCAAGACTGGTGAATAAGAATATATCGTCCCTTCTATTTAATGATTCAATCAATTAATGTTGAATTATAATGCAGCTCTTTTAGAAGCACCAATAATGCTTACTTTTATGTCAAATGGATTAATTTTTAATTAGTATTATCATTCACTTTTTGGAAAAAGTAATTCCCTTGGCAGTCTTTGTTTTAGCTGTACTTAAATTCACACAATTATAATAGTCCGTGGTTGGAAGGTCCTTAGATTAAGCATAACTGTGCTTTCCTGTGGCTTCCGTCTGTTGAACTCAGTCCCAATCCTTGGGGCCATGAGAGTAAGAATGACTTTTTATATAGACAAAGCCCAGTTATAACTAATCTTTCCTCTCCTGGCTGGTGTCCTTCTCATGGGATGCATTCCCCCCAGCAGTACATATGTATTAATATTTCAGAGAGAAGAAATACAGGTTTGTTTTCTGTGAAATAATGTTCCTTAAACTGAAAAGTTTCATTTTTACAATAGAAGACTTGGAAACCTGTCTGCTGTGTGCTAAGTCACTTCAGTCATGTCCGACTATTTGTGACCTTATGGACTGTAGCCTGCTAGGATCTCTGTCCATGGGATTCTCCAGGCAAGAATACTGCAGTGAGTTTCCATGCCTTCCTCCAGGGGAATCTTCCAGCCCAGGGATTGAACCCACTTCTCTTAGGTCTCCTGCATTGGCAGATGGATTCTTTATCACTGCTGCTGCTACTGCTAAGTCACTTCAGTCATGTCCGATTCATGTCCGACCCCATAGACAGCAGCCCACCAGGCTCCCCCATCCCTGGGATTCTCCAGGCAAGAATACTGGATTGGGTTGCCATTTCCTTCTCCAATGCGTGAAAGTGAAGTTGTTCAGTCGTGTCCGACTCTTAGCAACCCCATGGACTGCAGCCTACCAGGCTCCTCCGTTCATGGGATTTTCCAGGCAAGAGTACCGGAGGGGGTGCCTTCTCCCTTTATCACTGTCAAGCCTATCACTAGCCACCTGTCAAGCCTGTTAGTTGCCTGACCAGGGTTCAAACCCAGGCCCCCTGCAGGGAGCGTGGAATCTTAGCCACCCATTTATTGGACCACCAGGGAAGTCCCAGTAAGTGATTGTTTAAAACAATGACTGTTTATAAATGGAAGCCTGTATATGGACGCACTGAGTAATAGAATTGAAGGCTGATCTCAGGTCCATTCATTCAGTAAGTCATGTAAGTCTTCAAGTTATCTCTTTCTACCTAAACCATCTCTAGCAGACATAAATTCAGGTCATCCCATCATCTTGATGGCCCTCCCCTAAACACAACAGTTAATCCATGTCTCTCTCACATTTGTACCTTATCTGAATGAGTGTTGCCAGAAACAACTTAGGCAGAGTGGTACTTGGGCAATCCCATATTTTCTTCTACCTTTCTAATAATAATAAGTATCCCAACCTATTAGAGCAATAACTTACATAAAGTAAAATGTCCCCATTATTGTACTACTTTTCCTCATGATTATAATTTATGAATCTCATAACTTTTGCTGAAGAATATTGTTGTTTTCCCTTTTATCTTTTACTAAACAGTGAATTTGTGTGGTACTATAAATTTAAAATCAAAAGATCCCCTCTGCCCAATCCCTCTACCTTTCTCGGCCTCAATTTCTTCATTTGGAAGTAAGACCTCTGGGCCAGATCTGCCTTTTTGTGCTCTGTGTGGATTTTATAGATATGGAAAAAATGATGGGTTTTGTCATTGTTAATTCAAAGTGTGAGATGTGTGACTTGAAGGTATTCTTATTTCCTCTTTCCCACAGGATCCCCATAGAACTTAAATATATATATTTTTAATAATCAGTGAGTTCTTTAAACCACAAAGCCTTTAATAGGAAAGGAAGAGGAAGTGTGTAGTAGTGTTGCTAATTGTGTGTGAGAAGGGTCTGGTAACTGAGAGCTAAAAGAGAGCCCCCTGGATGGTCTGAGAAGAAGAATGGCTTAGTCCAGAGCCTGCTTATTGCTCTGCAAATGGAATCTTGATTGTATTTCTCAGAGCATTACCCTTAATAGTGCCCTTTCGTTGTCGGACCATCCAGGCTTTGTCATGTAGGCATTATATAACACCAGGCCAGCCTAGGCCCTCCAGGACGTAATACTGTAATGGACTGAATGTGTTATGTTCATATGCAAAATTCAGTTGTTGCGACTGTAACCCACAAGGTGATAGTATTAGAAGTTGGGGCCTTTGGAAGGTAACTAGGTCATGGGGATGTGACTCTCACAAATGAGGTTAGTGCCCTTATGAAAGCGACCCTAAGAGATCCCTTGCCCACTTCCTGCATGTGAGGACTCCACAAGAAGGCACCATTTGCCTATGAAGAAGTGGGCTTTCACTGGACAGATCTGCTGGCACCATTGTCTTGGGCTTTCCAGAATACAGAACTATGAGAAGTAATTTATTGCTTATAAGGCACCGTGTTTATGGTATTTCTGTTACAGCAATCCAAATGGACCAAGACAGTCATCCACTCAGAACATCCCCTTGCTGCCCATCCCTCTCGTCTGAAATTTTGTTGGAGTCCTTCCTTTGGATAAAGGGTTCCAAGTATTACCTGTGGATGAATTATCACAAGTTAATTTACCAAATCAGCAAAATGGTAGGATTGAATTACTGAGAAATTAGAAATATCCAGTAAAAAATGCTACATAGATATAAAGGATTAAAAACAAGACATTATTTTGAAAAAGGAACAGGCAAATTAGAAGCAAATCTTCCAGAAATAAAGATAATCAGTGGGCAGCCACAATACAGCTAAAGGAAAAATTAGTGAATTGGTAGATAGGACTGACTCATTGTATTCCCTGGAGTGCAGCAGAGAAAAAGAGATGGAAAATATAAAACAGAAGTTAAGCAACATAGGGGACTGAAAATATCTATCATAATTTTAATCTAAATCCTAGCAGGAAAGTATAAAGAAATGATTGATACATTCCAGAAGAATTTAAGAAAGATTTGATTTGGTAATTGTAGGAAATAAGGTGAGTCCAGGGCTGGATAAATAAAAATAAATCCAAATCTAACACACATTGGGTTGAGACTGTAGCTGTGCAAATACAAAGGGAAAAAATTGAAAAAATAGTTGATTGCTGCCGGATGATCAGTTATTAGCATTCTTCTTGATGGTTGTTTTGTGGCGGTGATGTCTTTTCTACTTGTTGTTGGCAGACCGCTTCTTTTGTTGTTTTTTTTTTTTTTTTTTTTTTTTTATGACCACACTGTGCAGCATGTGGGTCCTTAGTTCTCTAACCAGAGATCAAACCCGTGCCACCTGCCTTGGCAGGACAATCTTAACCACTGGACCACCAGGGAAGTCCCAGTGCCTCGTTGTCTTTCATCAGCTAAATTATCATTCAAGAATGAGGGTTAAATAATCCCATTTTTTAGGGGGAAAAATGGAATCCTTTCTTTATTTTTTTATTTTTTATATTTTTGGAATCCTTTCTTTAAAAATCACTAAGGGATGACCTTCAGGAAAAAGGAAGTTGAACCCAGACATGTGTATCTGCAATGATTTGTTCCATCACACATAAAAGATTGTTAGCAAAAAATAGCAAAATGTTGATACCTCTTCAATTCAGGTGACAAGAGCATGAATGTTTATAAGATTATTTTTCACACTTCATGTACACAAAACATTTCACGTTTTAAAAAAAGGAAGTGAGGGAGGAAGGAAAGAGAGGGCGAGAAGAAAAACATGGTTTGATGGCCGTGATAATATTTGGACTGGAGGACTGTTAGCACAGCTGGAGAAGTTGGATACCCTCACCCCTGGGACGGGAGCCCAGAACACAGAAGAGCTTTCTCTCTTTGGGGAGCCCCATGCACTCTAAAGAAAACACAGACCTGCAAGGGTTGGGGTGCTCCTGGTGAGACTGGGGGCTGTGAGCAGATGTTGAGTGACTCTGGGTCTTGGCAAATGTCAAGGAGGGAAAGCAGGGGTGGGGGGGTAGGACCAAATACACCATGGACCCCACGCCTGGGATGTCTGTTAAAGCAAGATGAAACCTGCATGGAGGTTCTCTCCTCACTGCCCCACCCAGGTGACTAACTGGCAATGGAAAGAAAAAGGAACAAGCCTACCAGGGGAGGACAGTGATGGAGACGTGACAGATTTGACTGTACCTGGTTTAGCAAACCAGATAGAGCTGCCGCTCAGGTGGTGTCAGGAGGGTTTGGAGGATGCCAAAAAGGAGTGAGCAGCTGGCATTGATGAGCACTGAAAGCCTCAGAGGACAAATAAGGCCATGTTTGGGGTGGAACTGAACAGAGGAGACTGCATCGGAAGTCTTAAAATGAGTGATTCTGTCCCCATCTCATCTCTAGGCTCCCAGAGCTGGCTGATGGCCTTTCTCTGGACGCTGAAGGAGGCAGGTGGTGCTCTGGAGAACTTGACCTCAGCTTGCGCTACAATGAAAAAGGGAAGCTGTTAGGAGGGAATTAACATTTTAATGAAGCAGACCCCTGTCTGCTTCCCCTTCTTTCCTCAGGCTCCCCAGACACTGAATGTACCTTCTTTTCCTCTGGAGAAACTGATTTTCCCAAGAGGTTTCTAACATTTGGAGGTGTCAGCATTAGAAATTTCTGACATTGGAGGGTCTTCCAGCAAAAGCGGCTGGGTCTGATTTGGACACAGGACGGCAGCTGCGACAGAGGGGACCCATGAACTTGGGAGATGAGGCCCCTCTTTTCCAGAGCGAGGATCTCAGTCCCAGGGAAGGCAGGCCTGCCCAGGAGAACATGGTAAAGAAGTCAGACATCTGCTACTACACATAACGCGGGTGCTTGTTCTCTTGAAGATAGAAAGGCTGTAAAATAAAAACACGCAGTCAGACCACGCCAAAGGCAGCATCTGAGGAAAGTCACTTCTTTTACTTTCAGGTACAAATGGTTCAGTCATTTAAACTAGGCTATCAAGGTATGGTCTAGCCAAGGCTCTGGGGGACCCACTTTAATGAGTTAGATAAAAGTTGATTCATATCTCATACAGCGATTGGTTGTCAATTGCTGCTTCCAAGGTAATTGAGAATGCTTGAAAGGTAATTTAAGTGATACTTTACCCTCTTAATTAGCTCTACCTAACTTTTAAATTTCATTGATAGAGCCCAGGCATGGCTTGAATCACTTCAGTGATCCATGCTAAGAAGGTTTTCTGGGTAAGAAAATATTTCTGGATCTGGTATGGTCTGACTGGAATTGGATTCAAATCCGGAAAACTTATGGCCTTCTGCGGACCCTCATTAGTATTTCCATTGGCAGCCCAGCCCCAAGCTTAACTCAGTTTAGACACTGATTAAACATTTCCACTGGAAATATCTACCTCTTTCAAGAAGAACCCACATATTGGAAACAGACATGTCTTTGGGCTGAGCTGATTAATTAAGAAACCAAGGCTTTGGGTAGTTAGCTTGTTGCTTCTAGAAACATTTGCTTTTGATTCAACTTCTTTATCAAAACAGAGATAAACATGGATAATGTGGCCTCCCGTAGAAAGATAATCTTCCCCTCATTTGCTCTATAAGGAAGCTTGCCGTGTCTTTTATTCTTCCTGGGACAAAAGACATAGGGTGCAAAGAAATGCTGCTCATCTACTTCCACAGTGGTCCTTGTCTTCATGGGCTGATCATCCAAATGGGAGTCCCAGTCCAGAGACCCAGTCCAACACAAGGCCTTTGTGGAGGGTATGATTAGGGGTGACACTGACAAATCTCCATGACCTGCATTCAATTGCCCTTTTTTTAAAAAACACATTATTATTTTTATTTTATGTTTTGGTCATACCACACGGCATGCAGGATCTTAGCTCCCCAATCAGGGATCAAAACTGTGCCCCCCACAGTGGAAGCCTGGAGTCTTAACCACTGGACCACTGGGGAAGTCACTGCACGTTTTGATTTTCACTTCTGTTCCCTGAAATTCACCTTTTAAAAATCTGCCCCCTTTCCCAGTTGCCAGCCACCAAAGAGAAGACACTCTGCACTCACCTACCTGGACATGAAGCAAGGCCCATCACATTGCTTGCTGTGTTTGCCTGGGCTACCCAACTCAGAGAACGTGGCAGCTGGTTAGCCATGGTAGAAGAGAAGAGCTACTGGGATTTACCTTGAAGATGCTGCTTTTCTGGGAGGTGGGCATGTGCCAAGGCCCCAGCTGCAAGGCCTATGAGAGAAACACCAGTATGCAGTGGGAAGGCCTGGGTATGGGGCTGGGGGCCGCCCTCACCTCTCTGAGCCTGTCCACCTGACGCGGACCAAACAGTTTGCTTCTGAAAGCCCTTATTTATTGCCAGATCTCAATAATCTTGTAGGTACGTCTGTCTTTGGTGATATTTAGATGCCTTGCTAGGAATCAAACCTGCACCCCAGAAGTTGTTGTTACAAGTGCATTAAAGAAACAGTGAGCCCCAACCATGGGTCAAATCCTGTGCTGGGTGGGGATGCAGGGGTAACCAGTCTCTGCTTATCGGGGCCATTTGGCCAGGAGAAGCACCAAGGTAAGGAAGAAACAATCAGATCTAACGAGACATCATTTTCATTGCTCTTGAAATTTTGAGAATAGTTTCCCTATTTTAATTTGTTGCCATAAAATAAATATATATTAATATATGCATAATTATCATTAAAGAATTGTACACTTCAGAATTAAATTAGGAAGCACAGTCTTACTAATACAAAAGAAAATGGATGGGCATGCCGACAGAGTTACCTTTTATAAGTGCTGAATTGGCTTCTTGAATTAAAATAATCATATGTGTCTCTTGAAGAGATAGTTTACACTGACAGTTTATAAATGCTAATGAAATTCCTACCAAATCAAGCAGCCAGGCCCTTAGATTGGAGGCATTTAACTTTAGGAAAGGTGAAGTTTAAGATTAATTAATCATTTTAAGTTATTTTTACATTACTTATAATGTTTTAGTAAGTGCTCCAAAAAAAAGCCAAAGTCTTCTTTTTGCAAAGAGCATTTGTTGATGTTTTCAAATCTGTTATTTAAAAGTTGTGCTTTTGGTGAATTTGGATGTTGTGTCCTCTTGGGAATATGTACCACTGTTTTGTGTACCGTTTGATCTTGGTCTTCAAGTTTCTGAGTGTATTTGTGTAATTTGGGTTGGACATACTATTTAGGACATTTCTAAAGACACCTTTGTATGAGAACATTTTGCTGAATGTAATTACTGCAGTCTTTTCCTTCTAAGCATTTACTTTATATTTCTGCAGTATTGTTTATTCTTTCTCCTTCATTTCTTATTTTGTTTATTTGGGTCCTCTCTCTTTTCTTCTTGGTGAGCCTGGCCAGAGGTTTGTCAACTTTGTTTATCCTTTCAAAGCACCAGCTCTTGGTTTTTAAATTTTCTTCTAGTTTCTTTAATCTCTATTTTATTTATTTCTTATCTGATCTTTAACATTTTCTTCCTTCTGTTGACTTTAGGTTTTGCTTTTTCTTCTTTTTCTAATTCTTTCAGGTCAAGTTGTTTATTTGAGATTTATCTTGTTTTATGAGGAAGGCCTATATTTCTATGAACTCCCCTCTAAGAATTGCTTTTGCTGCATCCTGTAGATTCTGTATATTTGTAATTTTATTGTCATTTTTCTCAAGGTAAATATTTTTAAATTTATTCTTTGATTTCATTGTTGACCCATTGGTTTCTTAGTAGCTTGTAGTTTAGTCTCCATGTAATCATTTTTTTTTTTTCTCGTTTCGTTTTCAGTGGTTGATTTCTAGTTTTATGCCGTTGTGGTCAGATTAAGCATTACTTTAATCTGATTTTTCTGAGTTGAAATTCTATTTGTCTTTAGAAATATTTTTTATTTAGTCAGCTTCCTCTGGTTTAGGGTACTTTGGAAGTAGGCTGTCCTTACCAGCAGTGATCATACTTAGAAAGGAAGCAGTAAAGCAGGGTGGAAAGATCCCAGGCTTTCCCACCAGATGGGTGTGGTGTGAATCCCTGCATGATCATTTAGTGGCTCTGTTTAGTGTCCTTAACAATAAAATGGAAATAATAATCCTGCTTCATAGAGGTGATGGGAGGTTAAACGAGATTATGTATGTAAGGAGTCTGACAAGGTGCTCAACGCTCAGGAGAACCAAGTATAAGATGACTAATAATGACATCCCGATGGTCTTTGATCTTCTTATCTGATCCAATATTCCTGTTAACTATCCATATTCAAGTACTGTTATTACATTTAATTGGTTGTATCAATATTGAAAAACCATGAAAAAAGTAATTGTAAAAATATAAACAAAGATTAATAACACCTATTTAAATAATTCCATTTTGATGACAATTTTAAACTTCCATGAAAATGTAGGCTCACCTCCGTGCATGTCCACAAAATAGGAAGAGTGCATCTGCTTGAAGCATTATTGGAATTTATTTCACAGGAATGGGTGTGCGTGGCAGAGTGGATTTTATGCTTTAAAGGGACTAATAAAAAGACCAAAACGGTTTGCAAATGAAGTGATGTGTTTTAAAAAGAACAGCCACTATTTGTCTCGGTTTTCAGACCTCCTATTTGAAAAGGTTGTGCCGGAATTAAATGCCCAGACTTGAAAGTTCCCTGAACCAGGAGAACCATGTGAGAAACACAGCAAGGGAGCCAACCTTCCCCAAACCCAACTTTATTGTTTTTCTTGGAGGTGGAGTGAGCTGCTGTTCAGAAAAATTTCCAAGGTTTCTGTGACTTGTTATGAATTGAAGGTCGTTCTCTGGACTGGATCGTAGGAGGGACCGGAATCTGCTTGCCAGTCAACGTGGAAGCAGATGTGTACTGGCAATTTTGTAGCGGAGGAAAGAAAATCTGGGAGAAAAACTCAACTTGGCTTGTGGGTGGTTGGGTTTTATTTTGCATCTCTCCAGACGGTCTTCCCCTCATCGTTCACTAGAGGGCGCCCAGCTATCAGCTGTGCCTGGGCTACAAGGAGGGGTCTTTACCCGTCCTGGTCCAAAGAGAGTTGGGGTCAGCTACAGACTTGAGAGGCTTCTGGGTCCAGCCTGGGGTCCACTGTTTCCTCAAGAGGTCACCCTCAGACTCCCTAGTGAGGCTGGAGACTGTGAGAGCCCTACACTTCAGGACTGGGATTTCAGAAGCCCCAGTGAGGAGTTTTCATTTTCAATTGTCTGTCTCTTTGTTTCAGAAGGGCACTGCAGGGGTGAATTATGACAGATTCCAGGGTTTCGAGGACTATATTTCCTGCACCCCAATTGCTAGACCCCTCCAAACACATATGTCCTTATGGGAGCAATAGACTGGAATATTTGAAACCAGAACTCCAGAAAATCAAGAACAGATGTTTTCCCTGATCAGGGCAAGCCCTCTGTCATGGAGCCCCTGGGTCTCCCTGCCCCCTGCCAGTGTTGCTGTGGGTGAGGGTGATTACTCTTGACTTAGAATTCTAATTAACAGGTCACTGTTTCATAAGTGGGTTCCCACACTGCATGCTTTATAAACAGGAGGATATGTGATAAATGTCTCTCCACTTCTTTCTTCTCCTGGCTCTGTGTTTGAGGACCTAATTTTGAACCATCTGCCCCTGTGTGAAATACTTCTGCCACTTTGCAACATTTGATGAGAATGACTGGGAGCCTAGTTTCCATTGACTTTGTGCTTTACAACATAATTTTGCACACATGTTGTTTGATACCACCATTAGGCATGACTCTGGAGCCCTCCCACTTCACAGATGAGAAAAACAAGGCTTAGAGCAAGTAAGTGCTGACACTCC